TTAGACAAATTTAGTTGCAAAGTAAAATAAACTTCTTAATTATTTGTTGATAGTCTTTTTTCCGAGAGATATTTCCATTGTTTACTGTCATATTAAACACAACATTTATAACATGAAAAGATATTGAGCAAAAAGTGATTTATATAATATAGGGATTAACTTCAAACAACTGCGACCATATCTGACGATACGCGTACACAATAATAATAATAATTAAAAAGAATCGTGAAAATTTCTTAGTTTTCCTATTTTGATTTTTTGATGAAACTTAATTCTTCAGTTAATGATTGAATAAACTCATGGTGAGTTCTGTGACAAAATATTCGTAGAAATCCCGCTATCATATCGTTAAATATTTGAGCTTGATAACTGTTATATACCGTGCCTATGAACACTAATTGGTATGTCCCAATCCTCATAAATACGTTGGACATATTTTAAGTGGGAATAATATGCTGTCTAAGTAGTTCACCACTAAAAGTGGTTTACCTACTTCATGCCGCTGGTGAGTATTGTATTTTGTTGATATTATAAAGATTACCATTTCATTTCCAACGTCTGTTCTGGTTATTCCACATTCAGTAACCCTTTCTAGGTTACAACAATAACTTTTAGAAAATATTGCAATAACAAGCATAAATATGAATGCTGGTCGTTATTTTATGTGAGTAGGAATGAAAAGATTTGAAATTGACAACTTTTTTTTTTTTTTGACAAATTTCACTGAAATAGCCGTTAAACACTGTTATCTTTCTTTCTTTCTTTCTTTCTTTCTTTTTCTCACTGAAAGAGAATTTTGGCGATTCGTTCCCCGGTTTCCGTCGTTCGATAAAATACTTCTGAAAAAAAATGTTTTTATTGCGGTAACCATCGGCTTTTTAGCTAAGATCAAAGTATAGTATCTGTTCGTAACAGCTTAATCTGATTCTCTCTTTCCCTTTCTATCTTCCCTTCTTCTTTCTTTCTTTCGTTTTTTCATTTAACTGAAACTAAGCATTGTTTTTGCCCTTTTTTTCCACGCGATCACCACGGAATAGTTCATTATTAATTGTTGACACGGCGTAGTGGTTGTTCGAACTATCTAAGGGAGGGACAAGGACGATTATTACAGTATAATAATAGAAATCAGTAGTAAAAGAAAATTATCAGTTGTTAATTGTTTTTTGTTTTTTTGAATCATATCAAAAGGATTAAACTTATATATGCGGATCAAATTCGTGGCAGCCCCTAAAATAGTTGATATTTGCAAAATATCATACTTATGGGGACTTCTCACATCTTACATAAATTTATTTCCTTGCTGTGAACAAAATTGCATTTTTTAAAATTGTATTGCACCTCCTCTGTTTGATTTTTCGGTGCAAAAATTTGACGTCTGTTGCAGTCTCTGGTTGAGACTTGAAGACAACTTGTACAAAACAAAGCAAAGGCAAAACGTAGTAAAAATAATAAAAATAAAAATAAATCACCTATTGATACAGGTAAAATTAAGGAAATGAACAGAATTTTCATTAGATTACTTGACCAATACATATTATTGTCAATAAATAAAATGTCTACACTACTTATCTATAACCGAATAAAAGATTCGTGTTTTTGTCGCTCATTAAGATCAGTAAGAATATCGTATTATTGAAAGAACATATATTTATTGACACTTATTAAATAACTAGTGGTAAGCGAATGTTTATATAAGAGTATAAAACACTTTAATATTTAGCTGTTTTAGTTATTATAATATCAAACGGGATCAATAGTTTTCAGTATAGACTTTTTTAAAAATAGAAAGTTTATCTTATTTAAAGCGATTTGGTAATGGTAGCCTACACGCAAGCCAGTAATCTGTCACTGGGTGGCCTGCTGTATAAGACTTCTCTTTAGTTGAATTTTTGTATTTGTTTAATTTGACGTCTTCAATTTGTAACTCACACTTTGAGTTGACCCCTTTTGCTAACGGCCAGGCATTCTGTCTTCTTATAATTGATGGTTAGTCCTTTTATCGTGCTTTCCCGCACTACATTGTTTAAATGTCCTAGCAGCTTTCTTACTGAGTCTGACCGTCCTGGGTATGACGGTAAACTACATACACGTCTTGGGTAAGACGATCAACTACGTCCAACAACAAGGTTTTGAAGAGCGTGGAACCACCTCTTAATTGCTGGTGTTCCCAGGTCCACCCTGACCCGGGGTGGTAGCACCTGTTTGGGTCCCAGCTATGGGCAAACTGGGGTCAAAACACAATAAAAGCGTAAAATAGGTTTTAATACCAGAAATTCTTTGTAAAACATTATTACCAGCAATAGATTTTTCCATAAAAAACGAAAAAAAAAAAAAATTACCAGCTATACATTTTTTGAAAAAAATATTACCAGCTATACATTTAAAAATAAGAAGAAAAATATTACCAGAGATATAAATTTGAAAGAAAATTATTTTTTGTAGGAAAAATATTAACAGAAATAAATTTTTTGAAGGAAAAATATTATCAGCAATAGATTTT